AGGAATTTGTTTTCCAGAAAATACTTTGTAAAGTGATCCTTTTGGACTCTTGAAGACTTCAAGATATTAAGGATTATAAACTCCATTAGGGCTGTTTTGCTTGAAGATAAAGGAACAGTTCACAGTACCAAAAAGATCTCCAGGGCTTCATCCTAAAAGATTCCCTGAGAAAAGAACTGTCAGAGTGGAATTCTCCATGTCCTTTGGCAATATGTCTTGTATTTATGTAGGGCTGCTGCTGACTCCCTTATGAGCATGGTGTCCTTCATGCTTCAGGTAAATGCCACAGAGTAAAAAGGGGATATTTTTCTATCATTCAGGTAAAAATTAGTGCTAACAAGGATTATTGTCTTGCTAATTTCATTAGAGATTTAGATGATATTTTGCTAATGAGTAGACTTACCCTTTTTAGTTGATATTATTATGCAGGCATGCCTTGAGCCAAGGCTCTTCTGAAAGAGATTGAACATGCCATGGCCTTGATATGTTCTATCCTGCTCCCTCTTGTGTATGTAGGCACCAAAAAAAGCTCAGTGCAAAACCTTTCTGGGAGGCAGTGACTGGGAATACAGTTCTATAGAGGCAGTTGTCTGCTCCTAAAACCTTCATCTACGCTGCCTCAAATATAGGACATGGGAGGATATGAAGTCTTTGATTAGAAATATATTTGCCCTTTTTTTTTCCATTTTCTATTAAGTTTTGTGTCACTTGCTTTGCAAATATGACCCTGTGAGCTCTGAGAAAGTAAGTAATCATCTAGACAACTGACAATTGTTATTCTTATTTGAAAAAAAGTTGTGAAAAAACAGTAGAAGACTTGTCACCAGAAATAATCACGAGGTAATTTTTCAGTATTGAAAATATGATCTAATACAAGTCACAAAAGCTAAATTCCCTTGCAATGAGCAATGGTTGGGTCGGCAGTTTTTCATAATGGAGGAACAAAGTGTTAAAAACAAAGAAAGCCATGACCTACAAATGAATCTTGTATGCATGATTCAATCATGTAAATGTTAAAAAAATCAGAACCTCGATTATACCACAATAGAGATTAGTTACTCAACTACAAAATCCTGATCTGGAATTCACATTTGGATATGCAAAGCTAAACAGCAGTGCTTCATTAGTGTTTAAAATTACTGTAGACCATGTTCGGATCTTGATGTCATTTCTTAAAACCATCTCATCTATCCAGGGGATCCTTGTTAAGACAGTCCAGTGGATTTTCATGCCACTAAGACTGCTGTTTATTTTTAGTTCTCTACCTCCCCTTACTATGATCTGCTTATTACACAGTGCTACTGCTTGCCACATCCCCCTCCTCATGCAACAGCTACGGGAGGAGTTTGTTTAATTGACGAAAAGTATCACAAGTTTAAAGTTGAAACATGAATAAACCTGATAATTTCATAAATTCTGAAACATTTTTAAGACAACAAAAAATAATCTCCTTTTTTTTTACAAAGCCATGTTTTTTTTGTGGAGGACCCCTCTCACCTGCCAGCCCAGTGGAGGATGGCACAGTGTCCCACATCCCGGGAGCTGGTGGCACTTGCCCGCACAGCCCTTTTTTTTCCCATCCATTTCAGTCAGGAATCTGCTTTGCAGTGTGAGCCAACCCTGGTGTTCGTGTGAGCTCTGCAGCAGCTCTGACACATCTCAGTGCTTCTGGAGCTGAGCTCTGTGGTGCCTCTGTCAGCTCTGCTTCCCCCAGCCTGGCCGGAGCCGCTCTGTCAGAGTCCTGCACGCTCCGCTCGTTACCAGCAGTGGGTTGTGGGGAGGGAGGATGCAGGAGGAACAAGTAGCTTGGTAGGAGTGATTTGAGAAGGGAGAAAAAATCTGCACAGCAGAGCATTTTGAAGCTTATGTGGCTGCAGATTTGTGTTCCCTCTTAGTCAAGAGAGAAGAATCAGATTTTAGTAACACATGATGGGCTTAAGGAAAGGGAAGACAGGATTTTCTCTTCTTCTCCTTAGAAAGTGTGAACAGCTATTTGTCCATACTGCCCAGTCAGTACCTGAGAAAAGGATGGTTTGGAAGTGGAATAATGTACTTAAAATTAATATCTATTAAAATCAATGGCACTTGTCTAGACTGTTGTTGGACACTCTTCCTAATGACAAGAAAAAGCTGCATACGGTGATATCTTAAGAAAAAGTCAACAAACATTGGATGTGTTCTTTTTGGACAAAGAGGTAGAGAATGTAATTGTGGATTAAATCCAGTTGCACAGAGAAGGTAAATGAGACTCAACTCCAGCTGTGTCTGATTCTCATAAGTATTCAGGCTGTAGTTGAGGCTGAACCTCAGTATAGCACAGACTCCAGTATAGAACAATTTACTGGATGCTTCTTGTTGCCCTTGACAGTAAAAAACAAACAAAAATCCAAACTAACAAAGAACAAACAAAAATTCCCAACCCCCACCCCCCCAAAACCCAGCAATGGAACAAAACAAAGCTTCATTTCTGCTGATATCACCTCAGCAGTATGTTATTGGCATGCTTACACAGTGGGATGGAGCTGAGCTAATCACATGCAAAATATTAAGATAGATGCTGAACAAATGTGTTTGCCTCCTAAAATGTAATGACTGTATGATGCTTTAAGTGGGGCTGATTGTGTTGTTATTAAGGTTGCTTTACATTTTCCACTGGAGCAGTGTCTTCTGTTGTCATATCCATGTCAAACTATAACCCTTTGATTGATTAGGATAAGCACAATCACAGGATGCAGAGTCCAACCAAGTAAGTAGCATTATATCATTTCCATCATAAGGGTGTGTATTTGTACATAGTTCAGCACTGGCATAATCATTTCATCAGTGTCTTTATGTATTTGGAGTTTTAACTATTATGATTGTCTTAGTATATTGTCATTTACATATCCCCTCATACTCATTATTGGTATTTATGTATTCAATTAATGCATTTCTTCTAAGTGAAAGGTTATTTTCTGACTTCAACTGTGAGGAATAAAAAACCTAAACAACCTATGGGTGGAACAAAATGAGACCTTTTGTGAGTAAAGGGCCTTGGAATGCCAGAGAATCCCAAATGTTTACTGTCTGGGGAAGAGAGTGATTTATATTGTATGCTGAATGAATTCAGGGTTTGAAAATGAGCAAAGGGCTGAGCTTGATTGTTCCTGGACTGCTTTTATTAAGAAATCCAGCACTGTGCTATACATGAGTATATGCATTGACAGGACAAGGAGGAATGGATTCAAACTGAAAGAGAGTAGGCTTAGATTAAATATTAGGAAAAAATCAACTGTTCCACCATAGGAACCACATATGGAAAAGAAATTTCTTACTGGTGGAATTGAGTGGATAAAACAGTATAGTGTAACAATAACACTTTATTTTTGTTAAAAAATTAAAAAACTGCTTCTTTCATTTCTTTCCAATAGAAAAATTGCAGTCATGCCAGCTGTTAAGCTGAAACCACTTGTTTCATGAGGAGGGCTATATCTAGGGTCTGATAGTTGGGTTAAATGTAAATAATAACCATTCAGAAGGGATACTGCTCAGGAGCAGTTTTAGGTGTGTAATCCCTGGGCATCTCATCTCTTCTACATTACCTGACTAGAACATGGTGGAATTATAACCTAAGAAAAGTTACCTTTGTGGCAAGTAGAGACATGTGAGGCTGTATGGCAAGATGAAGAACTGTCCTTCCTCCAGACTCCTCTGTCTCGAGCTGAGTTGTCTGGTCTGGGGTTTGAAGTTTCAACTCTGCCTGCTTGGGGTCTGCAGTCCCAAATCTCCCTGTGCTGTACACCCAGAACTGTTCTGTGAGGACCAGAACGATGGCAGTTTGCTTTCCAAATACACATGTGGAGGAGAAACCTCCTGGTTAAGTGTGGGTGTTTTCTGCAGTGAGATGTGTATGTAAACCCTCTCAGGATGAAGAAGGAATTTAACACATTTCCTATTTGTAGTGAGTGCTCTCCCTTCTAGGCTGTTCCACCATCCTTTTAGTGCATGCATTAGGAAAGAATATTTAGCTGTGTTTTCATTAAGACTAAATTGTGTTTGTATATTATCTATATTTTTTCTCCACCCCCTGGATTTCACCCTTCAGGATTTAAGGAATCCTCTGCATAATTTTTGGATTCTTATCAAGCTTAAGACAGACTAAATGAACTGCTAAAACTGGAATAGTTTTGAACATGCTCTGAAGCAGACTCCTGGATCCTGGAGGAATTAGACTAAGTCAAACAAAGAAATGCCTCTGTGGTTAGATAGTAGTGAGGCTGAAGCTTTTTCAGTCACAGTTTTAGACTTTTCCTCCACTGCAGCTGAATTCAGGGGAGAAGGGGTAGTTCTGGGGGATTTTTTAAATGTCTCTAACCGTTAGTGTTTTTCACAGCAACACCCAAATCTTTCAAAGACTTAAAGTGCAGCTTGGTAGAGACAGAACCCTTGGCTGTGAAGGCATTGGTGTTAGAAAAGATAGATGGAGAACCTGAAGGATATCATATTTATCCAGAGGAAGTAAAAATCAGCTTGCAGTTTTTCTCTTGGAGGCTCTCTCTCTGTCCCTCTGTAAAATAACCAATTTTTGCTGTTTCTGTTCTCCTATTTATCTCAAATGTATTAGAGGAAGAAAGGCAGAATACATCTTCTTTTGTCAAGGAAATTACAGATAACAGTTTCAGTCTTGGAGTAATCTTTTAAAATTGTCCATGGCCAAATTCAACAATGCAACCCAGCCCAGCCAAGTACTTCAGTATGCACATAATTTTATTCACTTACTTAAATCCCTCTGACTTCAAGAGGATTTAAGCAGTGCTTAGGTGCTTTGCTGCAACAGTGTCTTTAATTGGGAGATGGCAAGTTTTAGACAGAGAAAGAAAGGCAGTTTTTGCAGTCTCTGCTGGTTGGTGCCCAAAAATTGGTTTGATTTTTCAGATAATCCTAAATTCCTACTGCCCCCAATTTTCTTTTATTCTTTTGGTGGGTTTTTTAGAGCTATTTTGTTCTCTTTTTTTTTTTAGGCTCCTGAGTTATACACCACTCCCAGTATCATTCCAAACTTAAAAAAAGAGATGTTCCAGTCTGGTTTCAGCAATTGCCCATGACAGAGATAATGTCGAGGCAAATCAGCCACATCCTGAACCAAAATGGATCGATCTTGCAGGAGCACACTGCCAGCACTTACCGAGGTAAATAGAGACAGTTTCTAATGGGTTCTTTTCAAAAGCAGTTAGGGCCTAACCCTTTGAGAAAGTAAGTGATGACTTCGAAAAATGTCACCTTTTAGGTATTCTTTTGTTTGTTTTAGTTTACATAGATAGTATCTTCTTAATGTGATGACTGGTCTTTAAAATGATCAATTGTCATTCCCTTTTACTGACAAAAATATGGTGAAGTGTTAAGATGATTAATGTAACTGTCAGGTGAAATATTCATAAATTTAGCTGACCTACCACATACAAAGAGATCATATGTATCAAGGTTTATCTGCTTCACTTGCTTTGCAAAACACAGCCTGTGACTTGAGTAAATGCATGCTAAATTATATATATGGAGAGAAGGGAAAAGAGAAAAAAAACACTGTGGGTTTTTTTTTTTATTTTATTTCAAATAAATCTTTAGAAACAGATCCTTTTACCATATGTTTACATAGTCCTCACCCTGATTTGAAATTTTGGACTGCACAGAAGTTATTAATTAAAAAGTTAATAATTAAAGACGGTTTCCATTAAAAGAAAATCCATGGATCAAAAGAGAGGGAGAGGTGATATTGCTGTGTCCTGTAAGCAGACCTAAGCTCTGTGCTGTTGCTCTTTTCCACGTTGAAGAGAATGAACTTTCAGCACACAGCCTGGATTTGTGGCTCAGATGAGAAATGAGGTGTTGGGAATGGAACTGGAATGCAGTTGCTGTGGGTTCACTGCTGGCCAAGCTGTGCCTGTTGGAACTCATCCTCAGCAGCATCTTCTGTGAGAACAACATTCCTCTCCTAAGGAGGACTCTCGAGTGCCCAGGGCAAGTGGAGGGTCACTGACTGCACCAAGAAAATAAACTGTGCATTTCATGGGGGCTCTTATTTTCCCAAATCCTTTTTCCGGTGAGTTGGGAGCATTATCAGGAAAAACCCTCCTTAGGTCCAGTGTCACATGGCATCCCTGCACTGGGTTCTGCCTGAATTACTGGGGCTGGGCTGCACTAAATACCAGCCTGTGTATTCTTAATCCTCAAAAGCTCTAACATGTCAATATAACAGATAAGGTGATGATGTTATTCTGAATGGCACCATTTTCGATTTTCCTCTCCCCCAAACACTGTTGACTTACTCACCCAGTCATTGCAGCTAGTTACTGAGCAGCAGAATTCAGGAAATCTGATTTTGCATTCCATAAAATTCTAATTGTTTTAGGTAGCCTGCTACATGAATGTGTAAAATCTTTAAAGAACTTATCCAAATAACACTTTGGAAACGTGTTTGTTTTTTTTTTTTTTTTCCTTTTTGGCATGTCTCTGAATGCTGTTAATAATGTGGAACGGTTGTAAGTATTTATTGGAGTGCTGTGCTGGAGCTTTTTGTTTTCAGTATAAACTGATGGAGATCAACAATTTTTGATGCTCCTAGTACTAAGTGCTTATAAAGTGTTTATATCTATAATTGTGTTGAATTATGTTAATGAAGCACTGAAAGACACTAGTAAATTTAAGTGCTCAAAAAGTGCATTACTCTGAGTGTCACCTAGGGGCTCTTCACATCAGACACTCGGGGGACAATTTTTTTTCCTTCCAAGCACCTTTAGAGCACTATGTCTTAAAGTGTCTTTCCAGCATTAATTAAATTTAAAAAAGCAAGTGCCAGGTAAGTGCACATGATTTGCTCTAATCTTCTGAAATGCAAATGTATTTTAGACTAAAACACCCTTCCGTTTTTACAATTCACTAGTTTCCTCTTCAATTGTCCCAGCACCTTTTCTTATTTCAGTATTCAGCTGTTAAAAACATCCATTGGAAAGGCTGGGAATGAACTCCATTATGAATGATTAGGCAAAAAAATAGAACTATTCAAAGGATCAAATACCCACGTTAGGGTGTCTAATGGCCTTATGAATAAAAACTGTATTAGCTCAGGAGAAAGGCTGTTTAAACTGGGTCGCTCTGAGTTTGTTCCTGCCCCTGCCCCTCCCCTCTGGGTTATCAGGAAATTTGTGCTGTAGGTTTCTGGAGCAGCTGCAGCTGCCAAGGGTTGTGGTTTCCTTCCAGTGAACTCAATGATTTGTTGGTGATTAGCCCATGGTAGAGTCAGGTATCTGAGCTCCCGAGGATTCAGAGCTTTGGCCGAGATGATCAAGTGAAACAGGAGTTTATGGCCCATGTTAAGTGATTGAATTCCACTGCTGTTGTGAGATGGAAGAGCCTCAAATGGCACTATACATATTTAGTGTGAGCACTGGAGAAAACAAATAAAGTTTCTGGAGGAGAACAGTCTGAAGGTAGAGACAGCAGCGCAAGGACACCAAAATTTAATATATGCTTCCCTGGAGAGTTTCAACAAACAAATAAATAATTCCGAAGTCTGATCAAAAACAAATAGGCACTTTTAGGAATGTTATTACTGAATATCCTACTTCAAGGGCTATTCTGTTGTATGATAGAATATTCATATTTTAGGTGTGAGGATGATAATCCTTACATTGCCTAATTCTGACTAGACTGTATTGAAATTATTTTTTTCACTTTTCCAAGAAACTGTGTTTAATCCCTATGTCAATGTGCTGAGAAAGATAGTAATGATATATCTGAACTTTAAACATCTTTAATCTTTCTCTTTATCTTTCATTCTTGTTGCACAACCTCAGCAATCAGATTTCAACACCCCATTCCTCAGAAAATCTTACAGATTTAGAAACCATAGTGAGATAAGATTCTCCTTTGACCCAGAGACACATTCTGCTATGTCTTCAGAAAGTTTTTTAAATAACAATGTCTATTGAAATTTTCTGAATATTTTATTTGGCAATGACTAGAATATATCAGCCACGTGGCAGGAGCCCACAGGAGTGTGGATGTGAGTTGTGTACTCGAGGTAAAGAGACATCCCAGTCAGTCCTGACTGGAAGCATTATCAGAAAGGTCCTTTTTAGCCTAGAGTTTGTAAACTGAATTGTTCTTAACTTCATTCCCTGGGGAAAGATACCTATTTCACAAGTGTCACTCTCAATGTAGCAGGAGTGAAGAAGCCAAGAACTGGCTAAAATTGAGCTTGTTTTACCAGTTCAAGGTAAAATACATTGTCAGGGCATGTGAAGCCTTTCTTAACAATCACACTGTGTGTGTGGGAGCAGCTTTCACTGCTGGATAAAGCAGAGCTTTGTACTCTACACATCCCAATCCAGCTCTTACCTGCAGGTTGATCCAGTTATCGGTGAAGGCAATTACCAAAGAGCTGATTTTAGAACGAGGGGAATAAAGTCTCCAGAGTTTCAAATGTAAAAAAGAAAATTTGGAACGTGATTAGTTTGAACTGTTATTGTCTGCTTTTTGGAAGGAAAGAAATCAGTGCTCTGACTCTCTTCTCTAAGGTTACCTATTATGCACCATATCCCTCTTTTCTGTCCTTCTAGCTACTTGATTGCCTATTTATTTGCAATAGTCTTTGGAGGTAATGAACAGATTAAATTTAGATAGAGGACTCAGATTTGCTGTTGGCACAGCTCTGCTGAAATAAATGGAATTAACCAGGAGAGTCAAAATACCTTGTGTTCAGCAACCATAAGCTATTTGGCCTGTTGATGACTTCAAAAATCCCTCCAGTGGATGCCAATGTGTGGCCGTGTGGTGTAATTTTAAAGGGCAATACATACAGGGCTGAAAAGCAGAAGTCATTGAAACATAGAAGGTATTATATTACCTAGACAAAATAATTGTCAGAATGAATAAAACTAAGCGTTTGGAGGAGGGACCGGTGAGATAATTATTTTTCGTTTGGGCAGTGATTCATTTCATAAAGTACCTTTTTTTCTTTTTTTTTTTTTTAATCTTGAGTAAGAAAAAGCTGGACTGGTGTGGATCCAGGTCTTTTTAATATGGGCTACATACCATCCACTGAATGCTGAGAGCAGTTAGACAAATGGTGTTGGTTACTGTTATATAAATGGCTTTGTAATCAAAGCATCAGCCAACAGACAGCTTCCAGCACTGTTCCTGTTGTACATGCTGCCAGTGCTCACTGATTCCAGGGTGTGACAAGTCTGGGGAAATCTCAAATCCTCTGGCAGACATTTGCTGTTTGTCTGTCTAGGAAATGGAAGTCTGAGGAGCACAGAAATCAGGATCCTTAAGGTCCAGATTTAAAGCCACAGCCATACAAAGAGCGGGACAGAAAGGGGCAGTTAGTAGTGAAGTTAAAAAGAGAAGCTTATGGAACACAGGGGAAAAGGAAATGCTGGGAGCAAAAGGAATGAACAGTGAACTGAAAATGCATTCCATGATATCCTGGCAGTCTATATAACCCCTTTTACCATGATATCCTGGCAGTCTATACCCCTTTTCACTGCTGGCCATGAGGGTTTCTGGGCTGTGGCTGGACAAAGCTGTGGGGTACCACAAGTGCCACTGAGCTTTTAGGCCTTCAGCTGATGATTGCAGAGATGGTGAGTCTGTGCCTTTCACTTTCCTATGTCCCCTTTGCATGAGGGAATGAAAACTGAGCCTTCCATAAAAACGTCTTATTTGATGCATAGCTTATGCTGCAGAAAGTTTTTAATAGAATGTTCATACATGACATACTTGGCAATTATCTCCTGTTTCTCTAAACTTGTATATATCTTCCTTATCCAGTCACTTAGTACATAAATCCAGTGATGTGTTTTTCCCTCTACACCTGCAGTAAGTTAGTTTTCATAAGGATGAGAAAGTGCCTCTTGAGACAACACATTGCTGAGAAGAATTAGAAGACCAAAGGTAATAGATCTTTTAATTTAAGATAGAGCCACTTGCCATTTCTATTCCTTTAAAAAGCAGTCAATTCTAATTATAGAGATTTATCTTGGATTAAGGAAAAGAAATACTAAAGTAAGCACTGCTTCTTCTACTATAACTGTAGGGTTAAGGCTTTTCTAAATGGGCATTATGTGTAGTGAGGACAGTAAAGTGACTGCCATCAAATTCTGAATTAACCGTTCATATAATGGAAATTTTGTTGATCTGAAAATATTTTCCTCTTAACTTTACATTTTAGAAGTTGAAAAAAAGAGGCATTACTGTCAACTACCAATGTTGGGGAAGAAAAAACGAAGTGAAGGAGGGGCTTTCTGAAAGAAGGAAAGCATTTTTATTAGTTCTTGAAAAGTAATATTCGGTCTCACCCACAGAATATCAGAATTCCAATGGAAAAAACCACTTGTGATCCATTTTAACTCAACTGTTTCCAGGGTCCAATGCAGATAGTGAAGGTTTCAATAAAACTACAGACACCCTGACTAAAAATTATTAACATGGAAAGAATCCCTTTCAGTGCAGTTTCAAAGACAACTGTTGCATTTCCTCCTCTTTCCCTTTTTCCTCATGTCCCCGGAATGGTTTTGATTTTATCATGTCTCCCTTTTTTCTGACAGTGTTTGTTCTCCACATGGAAGTTCTTTAGGACTCATCAAAATACCTGCTGTGTTTCCCTGAGATATCATTTATCACAGGACCATATATCACTGTGCTGCTCTGGGCCACAGATGTGCTGGCCTGGGTTTGGAGACTTCATTCTCTTCTGAGCTATCAGAAAATCCCTGGAAAGCAATAGGACAAGAAAAATCAAGCCACCTCCAACAAACAAGGATTCACAGTCTTTGGAACTTTTACAATATTCAACTCTTCTTTTGTCCTTGTCATCCTCTTATTGTGGGAATTGTGATCTGACTTCATTTAGTACAGGAAAAAAATGAACTTTGTGCCAAACTTTCATCGTCATCCACATGGGGAGAGTGGGAAAAATGCTGTACTACCTCTCTCAAAAATCTTGGTATTGATATTGCACAGCCTGCAATATTTAGCCCTCAGTCTGTTTCTGAGGCAAAACTAAGGGATTGGAATATTCAGTATATTTTATTATGGACATCTGTGACATTACCCTGAAAACTACAAGTCTCTCTTAAAATATATATTTATAAAACATGGAAGAGGGTTTTGGGGCTTTTCTAACAATCAGTTGCTCTAGACCCTGTTTGGGGGTATATTTACTTACCTTTAGCACAGTTTCCCACTGTTGCTGTGCTTTCCCAAATTAAGGCTCTGTAGCAGTTCCATTGAACGAAACTTTGTTTTGTACCAAAACATTTGGTTGAAAGTGGGAAAGTCTTGACCAGCATGTGATCCCAGCAAAATATTTTCCTCCTGCTTTTGTGGGGGTATATTTCTCTCATTCCATTTTTGAAGAACTCCAAGTTTTAAAGTTGTCAGTTGCTGTTATTGAAAACTTCTGACAGAGCACTCAAAATACTGTGTACACTGGGAAAAAGTAACTCCAGTAAGTAAAGTGGTAGTAACTCAGTAGTGTAGTCATTAGTAATCTAGTTAGAAGTCATTAGAAATCTAATTTTTCAGCAAACCTGAAGAAGGCTTCCAGAGTTAATGAATGATTCAATCCATAACAGGAGTGCTGAAAACATTTCTTTAAGATACGAGAACCAGGTTTTGGTCAGGAGGAAAATCTCATAGATATTCTGCATTTAGCTTTTAAGTGTCGCTGAAACAAGTCTGCAGGGAGTATGAAACCTCTGGTAACTCTTGGGTGACCCCTCTTATCATTTGCAATTGAATGCTCCTTTTATATAAGACTAAATATTTCTGGTTTGGGGTTTTTTTTCAGAATGTTCCTCAGAGCACAATCTACTGCTCTAAGTTTCAGATTTGAAATAAGCACACTTGATCAGAGACAGTTTTTTTAGTTGCTTCTTACCTAGTATAAATGAGAAACTTTCACAGCTACAGTGTAAAAATGAAAAAAAAAAGAAAAACATTGCCAGATCTGTGGGTTTCTCCAGCTGTTAAAATGAGCCTTCACTAGTGATGTGTCTTCTACTGGAACTATAAAAGCCTTCTTTAAAAGAGCTCAAATTTTCTTTGCAAATGGAACAGCCCAAGGATCTGTAGCAATCATCCTGTTATTCATTTGTGGCAATGCCAAGAGTAAAGGGTTAAAAGTCTGGGGAGACAATATTTGGTTATTTTCTTTAACTCAGTGATGTATTTGGTTATTTTCTTTAACTCAGTGGTGAATCTGCTTTTAACATATGTGGAGAACAAAGCAGTTCAGACAATTAAACTTCTTAATCAAAATGTGTGAAGAGAGACAGTGCTTTATGCTTTATGCACTTGAATGAGGTGCTTGCAGGAAATCCTTGTCCAGCTGACCAGCTCTGCAGCTTGCAATCCATGCCTTGGAATGGTCCAGGTATCTTCCACTCTGAAGAACAATGTACTCCTCAGTGAGGAGATGACAGGTTGTTGACTTGCTTTATTTCTTTATATAAAATTGTTGTTCCTTTTGCCCCATTAAGGCCCTCCCCCAGCTGTGTGTGAGGGCTGTGGTGTGTCGGGGAGCACGGATGGAGCACAGTTCTTCCCGCTCCGCGTTCTCCTGGCCGGGGCAGGTGCATTTTGGAAAACACTCCTCAGGAAGTGTGGGGAGATGGTCCTTGGACAGCCAACTCAGCTGCAGGGTTTGACAGGTCATCTGCAGCCCTGGTAGGTCCCCGTGGTGCTGATGTGCAGGACCCAGGGGTAGGTTATCCCTGCGCTGTGCCCCTGCATCCAGGAGTTCAGGTATGGATTTAAATCATTGTTGTGTGCATTGGTCTCCCCCTTATTTCCCCAGAGGGTCAAAGGCATCAGGCAATCCTAGTGGGCCCTTTGGTCCAGGCTGCACCCCTTTAGCAGGTGCCTGATTTTACCTGAGGGTGCAGTGGTGCTGAGGGACCATCAGGAATGTGGGAATGCTGCCCTCCCTTCCTGCCCGCGCTCGTCGATGGATCCCACGTGGTGAGGAGGAATTCAGGATGGAGACAATCCAAAATTACGGAATGCAGGAACTGGAAGCCAGAATTCCCTTCTCCCAGGTGAGTGGTGAAACAAGTTAGGTTCCGGAGTGATATTTGTTCTTACTTTCTGCCTTTTGTCTGTGACTTTGCAATTAGGGTGTAACAGCAATATACAAGTGACTCGCTTGCTTATATAAGGAAACAAATAGTTTCTCCTCAATAGAAAAATTTTATACTGATTTTCACTGAATCAGCCAATGCTGGGTCTTTTATTGGCCTTTTCACTATCTACAAATGTTTTACCAATTTCCATTGCAAGCCAAGGGCACTGCAGCCTTTCTTGGTTTTATGGTTTGAGAGGGAACATTAGGACAAAACAGGTTCTACCTTGTGAATTTTTCCTCTTCCACAAAGTCCAGTCTGAAAAATACATCTATGTAGGTTAGGAATATATTCAGAAGAGATTACATCAGTAGCTAAAATGTCAAGCTTTTTTTAAAAAGCCATTAAAATGGAATGTTTCTTTTTGTTTGGTTGGTTACGTTTTTTTTCTACAAGAAGGAAATTCCTACTTTTGGTCATTATTTCATAAATAAAAACTAAACATAATCATGTCTCTACATTATTAGAATGCTCCAGTATGGCTCTTTGCTTTGATTTTTTTGCCAGTTTACTGATCAATATTAGACAAGCAATATTGATAATTTTATATACACATATGTATAAAAATATGTATATATTTGCCATTCAGAGCTGGCAAATATACATACGGTGAATAAATTATTTCATAAATGTAGTCATGTTTATAGTTGCAGAAGTAAGGAATATGAGTAAGAAAAAGTAAAGAGTACATTCTGAAATTGAAATTATAATAAATTTTAGGCAGTTATACTATAGTTACTCAAACTGAAATCTAATGTTAGCATATGTGCTATGTTTTATGTTTATTTTCAGCTTCCTAGTATGACTTTTGCCTTAACTAAATGCAGTGCACAGTACAAATAAAATCTCAACTATAACTATCAAAATAAATAGGCATCTCAGGGGTATTATATCATCTTTGTCTGTTAAAAAGATTTTACATTCACCCTGTGCATGCTCTCTCACATATAAAAAGGCCTATTTTTAGCACTTATATGACTTTGTTGGTAGCACTTTAATGTCAAAATTATGTGTACTACTTTTAATGCTAGACTAAAATGGATCTGCTTCCTATTGCAAATTAGGACAATGGTTTCCAGCAGCCCACACTCATCAGTGCTCAGGAGAGCTCCCTTCAGTACATGATCAGCAGTGAAATTGCAGGGACGTGCAGATAAATTTGAATAAACCCATTTCTATGAAGGCATAAAGAAGAAACAATGAGGAGTTCAAATGTCAGAGCTCCCTGATTAATTTTTAATGATTTCCAATTCTTGCTGAGGTTCCCAGTATCAACATTTTAGTCAGTTATTTGCCCAGCAGTCATCCTATCCATATTTGATATGGGATAATTAGCAACTGGCTTAGAGAAGTGCAGCCCTTCCTACCATCTGCACGATCAATATTAGAAAGTGTTCTAGTTCCTAGGGATAGTCATGTATTTTCTGAACAGCTCTTGATTTATTCAAAGAGATGTAATGATCGTGAAGAGTGTTAAACCTGCAGCCTTCTGTTGACAGTGGCTGTGTTTGGCCTCATTAGGTGTGATCCCAACATCTGCCCAGGGGGTGGAGGATGGAGGCCACCTGCTCGTCTTGTGTGAGTTCAGAAAATCAGCACTTGCTAGAGACCCATCGAGTGAGCACATCAAACCGTGCCAGTGGTAAAAATGAAAGTGTTTCCAGTTCCTCATCAGCCTTCCAATTCCACCTTCTATTGCCATTTATTGCATTAGAACTTTCTGTAATCCTTTCCAAGAGTAACAGGCCCGTGTCCTTGCAAGCTGGCAGTTTGCTGTCACTCCGAAATCCTGGGGTGGCAGTGCTGGTTTCGCTGGGGTGATGGCTGGAGAAAGCACCAGCTGGGAAGGATCAAGCTTGTAGATGGTTTGTAAACACCGAGAAACAAGGGCATTCACCAGCATGGCTCCCCAGTTGCAACAGGTGACATATTAACATGAATTTGCAATAAATACCTAAAAAATAACCCCATTTTTGCTGGTCGCTAACATATGAAATGAGGCCTCGTTCCTTCTTTCCCTTAAAATAACCACTAGGGCCTGAAGTCCTCTGTACAGAGCAATTTACAGCATATTTTATTAGCCAAAAGAATGGTCGATTTAAAAACAAAAACTATTTCTTTCTTTCATGTCTTCGTTTCCTTCCCTTTTCCTTTCTTCTATGGGAGTTTCTATTATGATGAGTAAAAACAGAGAGATAAATGGTATTAAAGCTATGTCAGCTGCAGCTAAACAAGTACCTTTATCAAAAAGACCATTCCTGAAATCTTAAAGGGGTGTTCTTTTTCACAGTGCAATTCTAGCAAAGTACTAGAAAACTCTCCTGCTATTAAATTAGTATGTCCATTGATCATGAGTGCATTCCAAATGGGAATTTATGCTGTGTTAGACAATAATGCACTTATATGATTTTCAACTTAATAGAAACAATGATCTTAATAAGCATATTAAATTGGGAGGCACTATCTGATGACGTATGTTTTATTTCGCTGCTAACAAACTGAATTACATGCTAAAGCTTTGCAGTCAAATTGAAACCTAGTCAGTTCATAAAAATGATTTAACAGCAGGTTCCTGTAGCACACTATTCCTGCATCCTTAGCTGCTGTGGTTTTTAAATCCATTTTTTCTCATCTCATTTAATGAAAACGTTTTACCCTCTTTTGGGCATCACGAAAAGTGGAAAGGGGTACAAGTGTGCAGGTGAGATGGTGCAACCTGACACATGTGGTGACATGAAAGCTTAGAGTCAGCAGGGTTAGAAAGGGTTAGAGTCAGCAGGGAACACCAGTGAGTGGAAATTCTCACAGAAAGTACAGCAACATACACAATAAAAACAGGCAATAGCATTGTTACTGCTGTGCATCTCACAAACTGAACAAATTAAGGATTTTCAGAGGAAAGTCAATGCTTTTGAAAGAGATGGTTAATTTTTTTGATTATTTAAAAAGATGCAATCGGATTTGTCTGTCACGTATAAAAAGAAGTGCTTTATTATCATTTAAAATTTATTGAAGCAAGTGGTATCATTTTTCAGAGAAGCTTCTGAAAAAAAGTGTTGCTTTTTAATTTTTTTTTTTTTCTGAGAGGATTCTCTGTGGCTGTATTGCATGATTTTACCTTGTGCTTAGTCACTGTACTCTGTGATTCCTGCTCTACCTTTCTTATTCTTGGCAAACTATAATCTTGGAAGCCAGCTCCATGATTTCGATATGCATATAATTTTACGTAGTTGATGAATCCAGCAGGCAATAGTAAACAGCAGGGAGGGGCTCAATGGAAACTCATTTGTTAGTTTTCCCACTTGGAGGCTGTTATTTTTATAAATTACTTATATTGGACACTGTGGGAGTGCCCTTTTTCATATACGCTGAAGTACTTCACTGGCCCCAGGAGTCACTAAGACTAGTGGATTTTAATAGTTATAGATCTTAAATGGAGGGTTAGAAATTGTTTCTTTTCATTACAATTACAACAAGGAATTAACCCCAAGGGTATCCACTTAATTTCATAATATATAGACTGGAACGCTAATAATGTGTCTCTCCTAAAATGTAATAAAGAAGCAACTGCCCCTTGGCTCCCTGGGGTAGATTTTTGTAAAACGTACGGCAAAAACGTAACACAAAGAAGATTTTCCCTTAACAAGCTTTGTGATGTCCCCAGCGCTCCGAAGCTGGGGCACATCCCGTGCTGGCACTGGAATTCAGCACCAGCACTTCGGGGCTGCCTCGCTGGTACAAGGAGAACTAATCCAGCCCCGGGAGCGGAGGGTGATTTACAATTAAGCACATGAAGAAGTGGAAGAGTGCAGGGAGGCCGAGGGAGTACAGTAGCACAGAGTAATTACTTCCTGCAGGCTCTGCTCAGCCCTGTCCTCTGGCCGAGTTTCCTGAGTTGTTTTAATCTTCCTGCCCTGCTGCAAACAAACCCTGGCCTCGCAGTTGGCAGGCAGTGAACTCCGGGACATTGGCTGCTGTGTTTGCTCTTGTGAGCAGCAAAGCAGCTCTGACCCCTCAGTCATTGTGCATGGTGGCTGTGGAACAGATTCCTGGCCGAGATCTCAAACGCTGGATCAGGCTGTGGGTTTAAATCCAGGTTAAACACATTTCTGTTTGTTGATGGTTTTAATGGGGTCTGACTAGATACAGTATCCTGGGAAAGCTTGAGAGTAAAGGCAGCAAGAAGAGTGCTACACTGGCTGTGCCTGTTTTATCCTGAAAGAAAAAAATCACTCATGGAAGAATTGTTTTGGTTTGATTTTTAATTGTAATGCTTATAGACATTTCTAAGATTGTTGTTTCTTAAGGAAAATTCATCGGGAAAGAAATAATTGGCCAATTTTTTTTTCTTTAATTATGCATGATATGCTCAGAATTCTGTGTGCCTATTTATATTGCAGATATTCTGTTTGTGGCTGCAAATTTAAATAACTGCCCTGACTAATCAGGGGTGTATGCAAAATGCTCAGCTGATATGTTTGTACCCACCCTCTAAAATTCTTTATCTGTTTAAGAAACCAAATAAACAAACTGAAAGAGCTGGCCTCTGACACTTTCACCTCAGTGAAATGCAGTGGCTTGCTTTCCTCTGTGGTGCCTCAAGACTTCCCTCACTTTTTGTCATGTTTTCTTTTTCCATTCTAGTTTTCCATGGATGGTCACTTCAAATTTCTGACTGATAGATCCATCTTTAAAGAAAAAATTAAAATCCCAAAACAAACCGGAAGAAAATCTAAATTCGTAAGTCTTTCCAGCTGGTTTCTGTTAATTTTATTTTAGTGGTATTTAATTTGACATTTCTGGGCCTTTTTTTCCCTTTATTGACGTTATAGTAAAATGGGGGGAAATATTTACATAACAGAATTTACATTTTAACAACTTTCATCACCTTCTCCACATTGTGATGTTAATGTTCTCAAATGTGTCCTGAAACCAGGCCACTCAATGAGAACAGCAAGAGTCAAACTGTCAGGGAAGAACAGGAGGGGCAGAAGAGAAGTTCAGCATTTAACTGAGTTAGAAGCTGAAGGCTGAAAGGGCCTCTGAAGAGAAAAGTTTCAGGATTAAAGGAAATTCTCCCAGTAATTACTCATGTGACTGAGTAATAATTGCAATTGAAATATATGAGTGACTTCAGCAATCAACATTATGATCATGGAGCATAATCTGGATTCTGATCGTGGACAAATTAAAAATAAAATGCTAGGGATCTCTTCAAGAACTATTAATAATAGAGTTGTTTCACTAGGTGAAGTCAAATTAAGTCTGTATTTGTGAGGAGGAAAGCTCTCATGCTAAGTTTCTTCCATTTCTTCCATCCATTCCCAAGTGATACAAGAGCCAGTCATTTCAAGGGAAATCTGTGTTACAGCAAGATAAAAAATGTGATGTACTTCACAAACTATGTTATCTCCTTCAGACAGATAAAAATATAGATACTGTAGGTCAGGTGCCGATTTGTTTCACAGAAATTACACGCTGGAAATCACTCCTGCTGTATTGCTGTGTATCTACTCATATTGTGCCCAGCTTCTGCATCCCTAGAATATATTAATTAGTAAAGTAAAAAATATGTGGTAAAACCTATTATAAAAAAATGGAGGTACCCTACTTGGGAGCTAGAAGCAAAAATCTGAGGCACTTTTCCCCCAGTTATTATAATTTTTGCCCTTTTTGTACTGCCTCCATCTGATAGATCAATATGTGCTTTGTCTCCCAGTATGGGGGATTTCTGTGAGAGGCACCAGATGTCCTGTAGCCTTTATTCTAAAATCCCCGTTCATTTTAAATAAAATATGGATGCCTACCCTTAATTACAGCATGGCAATATGTTACTTGTCCCTTTCATAGGCTTTTGGAGAGGTGTCAAAAATACGTTTCATCATAAGTACTAAGGTCATATTTACGTAAAGAATTGTTTTGGGAAGCAGAATAGAAAGCAGTTTTGTTTTGGTGGTTTTTTTAAGAATGATACCAAGTGTGCACAGCCCAAATTGTGCTGGATCTGTGTGTGCTGTGGGGATGTGACAGCCACGGGCTCCTGCCTGCAGGAACACCCACAGACAGCCCATGAAGAGCAAAACTGATTTGGACACGTAAGAAAGGCAAGGGAAGGGAAGAATGTTTAGAATACTGGATTCATGTGATGTAGGTCTTGAAAATGCCTCCTCATAAACTTCCATAGGGACCCCATGTCAAAGTAATAGAATAAAAGGCCATGATGTTTGCAGTCAGCTTGGGGGTGATGCTCAGTGCCTTGCTGGAGGTGTGATACAGGGGCTGAAAGGCTGGGGGTATAAAAACATCAAAATATCTGAGCCTTAAATGAATTTCTGGATAGGAGAAAAGTAATAGGATTCTTGATTATTTGCCCCAAAAGAATTACACTTATGTAGCAGTTGGAATAGTGAAAGGAGACCTCAAGTTGTCATCCTCAGAAAACATAAACCTTCTGCTAGAAAATGCCTCCAAAGCAGTGGAAAGCAGTGGGTGAACTGGGCAGAGCTCAGCAGCACATGCAGAGAACCCCAACACTGGCAGACTGACTCTGTCTGCTGTACAAACCTGCCTGGATCCTGCACTCCAGGGGCAGAACCATGGGAGGGTTTGCACAGGGCGAATTCCACAGAGCCTTCCACCGTGTGGTGTTCAGGGAGTCCTGGATTAAAAGCAGCCGGGATTCCTGGTTATAAATGACATGGAACCAAAAGAATCCAGTGCCCCATGTAGCCAATCCTGTGGCTGCACCAGGACACTGTTGGTGTGGAAGAGCATGGGCTGAGAATGGGAGCAGCTTGGGAGAAGTGAGGGAAATGCTTCTTTTATTGAAATGGGACAAGCACTCTTACTCATCTCTGGCCATTTTGAGATGTGTTATATTCTCTTATTAAATCGTACTCCTTTTATTAAGAAAATCCAAGTGGGTTCTTCTTGCTTTCACAATTCCTGTATAATACACTGAAGTTCATTGGAGAAAAAGAAAATCATTCTGCTTTCATCCTAAAGCACACCTGATTGAGAGTTGTAAATATACTACACTCTCATATGCAAAGCTGCAAAGCAAGGTTTGTGCCATTTTTCTCAGACAGGCCATTTGAAGTTATATTAATGTCTTTGGGGAGATATAACTGTCCGGAAGAACGAAGGTACACTGAGGTCTAGGATGTAAGTGGGTAGAAAATTCATTCTGATTTAAGCAACTTAATTATTGCTTGGGTTTAGTTGAACCAGTAAAGGTTGTGCAGATCATTCATTTTTATTATTAGGAGAGAAATGGTCTGATCACAGCCAAGACATTTTTCATGGTCTTTCTTATTTACCTTGAGCAAAGACTGATGAATAGCAGCAGAGACAGCTGTGCTTGGAGCCAGAGATTACAGCTCTCAACCTCACCGTTTTGTGGTACAAAAGCACAGCTTACTGCTTGAAATTTCCAGCCACACTGCTTCTCTGCACTGTGTCTGTTGTAATGCATAGTTTTCTGCACCAAATAAACCCTTTAACTTGAAGAAATTCACCACAGGAAGTGGTAATGCCATGTCTATTTAAACTGCATATAATCCCTTTCCATATGAACATTAAGGTACTAGCTAAAAGACTTGCAGAACACCTGGTGTCCATATTGTTTCCTTTGTTGTTGTTCAAGACCCTAGAGAAACCATAAGTAGGTGTAGCTAAACTAATGTCAGTAATAATCCTGTGTCTCGAGTTACTGGGGAGCAGAGAAGAATTGGAACACTTAAAAGCTGCAGAACTGTTGTGAACAGTGTTTGTGAAAGACAATGAAGTAGCAGCACGATCCTGCTGTTGGGTGGGTTTTCATAGCCACAGAGTCAGGGGATACAGGAAATTCCTGTGCCACTGAAGCTGCCTGGAGGGACCTGTGTGTGTTGTCATGTCTGTGAAATGCTGGGATCCCAAACCCCTTCTCAGCACAGTGGAATGGGGGCTGACACCGTGGTGTTTGTGTAGCCAGAGCAGTCAGCCAGCATGTGTCAGACTGGGTACACTCCTGTCCTCATCCTCTCTGGAGCTGGGCCCTTCTCTTGCCTCTGAAACTGTGCCAGCCACCAGCACGGGTACAGATGGCACTGCGGGCAGTTTGCAAGTGGCAAAGGTATTGCTCTTTGTTTTATTTTTAATTGTTAAATGTTTTTCAAAACAAAACATTTTTAACAAGATTTAAGTAACTGTTTTCCTCCCCCTTATGGCTTTTTAAATAGGGGGGTGGGAGGTTGGACATGTGAGCCTAAGTCCCTTCAAGGCAGAGAATTGTATCCAGGTTTTACATGTGATGGATGAGCACTCCTGGTCTATGAGAAGCCTAACCTATTGCTTGTATTTATTAGACAGGTCTAGAAGATAAGAAGATCAAGCAGTTGCCTAATTTGTGGATCCAGACTGGACTTTGGTGGGGATTTCATACACAGGTACTGGATGTGTGATGCGTGAACAAATTGCTGAGTAGAAAGAAGTGAAATCAGTGTGTCAGCTGAGTCTGTTCTGTGCTGTCCATGCAGGCAACCTTAGCCATTTCTGAGTGCTGCAGGAGGTGTTGTTGATTAATGCTGATTTATGTTCAAAAATGTTCAAAGTCAAGAAAGCATATCCAAAATCCTAAAGTCATGCATGAGATGATCCTTGGGGGTCCCTTCCAACTGAAAATATTCTGTGATTCTTCCAAGTTTCTTCTTTGGCTGTTCTGGACTTTGAAGCATTAAAGAAAGACACTTTCTAGTGGAAAAATTGAGTGTGTATGTGAACCAAGTGCTTCCAGGGCTGCAGAGCTGTTGGGTTGGGCAGGTGGGTTGCAGTTTTACATGAGGGGTCTGTGGGAGCTGAGCAGTCATGGCTGCTCTGTCAGGAATTCATAATCCTAGAGCTGTGGTAATGAACCTTTTCTGCTTCCAATGACTGAACTCCCCAATATCCTCTCCTGCAACACTTAATATAGAAGCACTTGAATATTTCTTTATGTAGTTCTGGATATCTGCCTTTTATTAATTTCCCTCTGGAAACTTTCTTTGAAGTTTAGGCATTTGAGTACCTTAAATTACCTGACTGTCAATGAATCAAACCCAGATGTAACAGAAGGTACACAGGAGGCATGTTTATGGCAAACAAGCCAATATTTTCATTGTGTATGATCAGGAAACCAACATCATAACATGTTGACTGTGACACTAAATGTGCCACCCAACCTCTTTGTGTCTGTGTTCAGTAGTCCGCAAAGTTATGATGATGATACCCATTATACACAACAGTATGGAGAATTAATTCATTAATGTTTCAAAAGAACTTGGAGATCCTCTAGCAGAAGGTAGTACACAATTGCTGTGTGCTAATTTGTTATTCTCTATTATCAGATTCAATAGGACGTTGTATAAATCTTTAAAAAGGCAAACAAAAAGCTAATCAGGAGTCACTTCTTCTCACTGTCAAAGCTGGTAATGACCAAATAGTCTTGTTGTGGAAGTACAAAAAAAAAAAAAGTAATCCATGCTACTTGGGATGTTGAAGCAGCAATTAGTACTCATTGTAGGGAAGAGAAGTGGAGCTAGACCAGAAATGAGCCTTGATGAGCCTAATTGCCTTTAATTATCTCTAAACATTTTCTTGTTGTCTGTCTCATGAAGACAGAAGAAACCCTGTAGTTCTAAAAGGAAATAAGGCTCGGATTTGTTTTCGTCTTTTAAAGAGGGACATAATAGCCACCATGGAAACATGTTCTTAATCAACCACATTAAGCTCCTGGCTGCTCTGCTTCTCTGGAAACTACCTCGTTCATTATTATCAGGGGAAGGGGGAAGGGAAGGGGTTTAATCACTATTTAGCTTTCCTTAGCAAATTAAAATATTAATTATGATACACATTATTTTATCTTTGCTTAAGCTATTTGTAAGTATTGGTGAATAAGAGCTCATTTCATGTTGGAGTAATTTATTCTCAAACTATTCAGACTTACTTTTTCAGTTCCTTTTAAAAAATCATTGGGTCATGACATGCTGTCTTCCAAGAGCTGAGAAAAAACTGAGAAGTGATTACTGCAGTGCATTCAAATGCCATGGGAAGGTGAGCAATGGAAGGCCAGACACCTCCAGACCAATGGGCAGGTATTTCTCTTTTGTTCATGTTTATATGATGGAATGCCATAATCAACCTGTTTTTTTTTTTTTAGTTTTCAGTATAATGGAAAAGAGGAGACTTTTTGTAAAATAAACTCTCATAGGAAACCCATGGCCTCTGAAAATCTACACCTCTCAAAGCTTAAGTAATATTAATGATGTTAGTTTGGTTAATGGAATACAGAAATATGGAGGGATTAGAAAAGCAATTTATAAAATGAGCATGATCAGCACTATTATGCATCTTCTGTGAACATCAGATTCCTTTTCTTGGTGTGCCCATGCCACTTTACATTCCTCACTGTGAACTTTCTGCTGTTACTTTACATAAGGGAAGAAAAGTTGCAGAAAGGGAAAACAATCAATGATGTCTCTGCATCAAATTGTGGCTCAGTAAACTTTTTTTAAATTAAAATGTATGGTGGCATAAATCAGTATAGTTCTGTTAACTCTATTGGAGCTAGGTTGATTTGTACCAACTGCAGAAAGAAATAAATTCATGTATTCAAGTAGTTTGTGTAGAATTGCATGGAAGGCTGTAGGAAACACATAGCACTGTGCCAGAGATGTAGTTTTACACACACTGCTACCAGTGCTGTAGGTCACTGAGTGATAGAGAGAGAAAACCAGAGGTATGTTGCTATTTTTCACTAAATGGTTGCCTGTGGCTTCTCACTTTCTTATGATAGTCTTGCAAAGTTTGTGGCTAATGTTGGAAAAGGCAGGGCATGACTGTAAGTAGCTGTGAGAGCATTTAGGCTCCATTGTGAGAGCCCTCCTGGTTGTTGGATGTCCATCTGTGTTCTGAACATTTGAAGGTGTTAAGCTGAAAAGATATGTAGACTGATTTTAATTAAATCAAATTACTAAAATTAAATCTACTGATCAACAGAAGAGAAAAGCCAATATGAATCTGACCTTGAAAGAAAATAATTTTGTCTTTTTTTTCTTTTAACAGTCAAGTTAGCAGTTCAGAAAAAAAAAAAATTAAGTGAAATTTGCCAGCAGCAACTTCCAGTTCAGTTCAGTTCAGTTCTAGGCCTGACCTCTTTTACCATCATGATCTCTTCCTTTCACCTTAAAAAACAAATACTTTAAAAGCTCAGGGTATGTGTGCAGAAAGGGTCAACCAAGCCAAACAATATTTTTAATTGTAGCCATGGGATATGCATCTCAGGAGACGTGCCACGAAGTCAAAGGATTTTCTTTTCTTAATTGCAGAAGCCTTGTACAGGCTCACTCCTGGACATTCCTGCTGCCCTGCATTATTGATGTGGTCTGGCTCACTGCTCTTTATTTATTTTGTATGACACCTCATTCTCCTGCCCCAGTGCCATGTTTGCTGAGTCTTTCCTAGTTGTTCTCTTTGTTGTTGCTGTTGTTCTTACGATAGAAGGAGAGCTGAGAAAAATACCTTGTGAAGCCTGGCTACAGCACGTCTTCTGCCAGCACAACCCAAACGTCTGACCACTCCTCATTCCTTCTCTCCTACCTAAGCACAGATCAAAACAGCATTTGGTTATTTCTGCAGGCCAGTATCTCCCCAGATTCAATTTTGGGTTTTTTGTATGTGACTGCTTTTGGCCTACACGTGACAGAAAGATTTTTTTCCCAACACCCAGACGACTGCAATGCCATCCTTTTCTTGCAGCTTTCTAATAACTTGTGACCCAGGGTCTTTAGTCCAAGGAAGTGATTTTTTGGAGTGGTGGAATGCTAAATATTTCCCATCTTGGAGGCTTTGAGGGTTTGGACCATCCTGTAGGACCATTAAATCACTTTCTGAGTTATTTTCTCCTCCCGTGTTCAAATTAATTTTCTTTATTGCACACAACTAGGAAATTTTCACAAAATTTCCACCCTGCCAAACTGTTCAGTTTAATTTTCATTTTCCATGGAGCATATCTCCTAACAGCAGTAGCATGTGGGCTTGATCTGAGCAATGCACTTTGCCATACTTGGGTTGTCACTTTAAAGAGTTCATTGTGCTACAGCTCCTCCCAAACCAGATGCTCTCTATCACAGTTGCCTTCCCCCAGCATTCAGGATGTATGGCTTTGTACAGAGATTTACACAAGTGGTTTAAGCACATGCAGCTTCTGCTATTGCCTTCACAATTCCCTCCCCCACTAGGCTTCCTGGAGTAACTAATGTAAATTCCTGGCTGAACTAAGAAATTAAATCCTTAATAGTAAAATATCTATATTATCTGCTCGAGGATGATGAATTGGTGGGTTTGTGGAGGATTATGTATGTCTTACCCACAGATGTTTGACCTTTCTTTAGACATGTGTTACTTATGTGCTTGGTGAGAATGGGGCTGGCTTTCCAGACAGGGCTTGGATCAGGCCTTTTGAAGGCTTTGTTTGTGCTTCTCTGTGGCAGAATCAGTGCAAGAGAGCAAATGGTTGCTGCTATTTGCCTCTTTACCTGTGTCAGCACAATTCACTACAAGCTGAGAGGAAACTAGGAGTTAGAAGGCTTTTGGGGGGCAGAGGGGAGAGAAGTTAATAGGAACCATATTAGTACAGCTGCTCGATGTGTAACTTTTTATTAGCTCTGTGATCTTTGCTTGCTGTATACGAGGCAGCAGTTGAATGGAGAGTTTAGTCCTGAGATCAGGTGTAGCTGCTGGGATGCCACAGAGCTCAGTTTGGATCTGGAGACAGAAGCAGCTGTTTTCACAATGGCAAAATCCTGCATCAGTGTCTCACTGGTCCCATTGATTTCACAGCCTGTGCAGAGGCTCCTTATTAGCTCCTCTTATTCCCAAAGGTACAACTCTGCCTTCCTGAGGATATGGACTTTGAAGAGCAGAAGGGCTATTCAAGGCAGGGGAGACTGGGTTTCCCAGCTCCTGGTAAGCTCAAAGAGAGCCTGGGCTAGGATCCAGTAGCCTGTTCTAGAAATGCTAAAATGTGATGAAAGCAGCAGCTTCTGCTGAGTTCCTGATGATCCTCTTGGTGTAGGTATTTTTATTTTATTTTTACATGACAATGAGGGTTACACTCAAAATCTTTGAGTTTCTCATATGAATGATTTAAAGTATGTGTGACTTACTTTGAGCCCAGGAAACCTAGGAAGAGGTGACGAGGTCTTCCAGACCTAAGTGGTCATTTATGCTGCCATCAACACTTTACTGCATCCTTCTGTGACAGTTATTTCACTAGATTGGATTTCTATTGCTTAAAAAATTGCTCTGAAGGTAAAGCAGCTTCCTTAGACTGACTGTGCAAAGTCGAGCACAGTGGAGTCTGGTGCTGACCTCTAAATTTGATCAGCAGCAAACCCTTGACCTTTCTGCCATTTCATAATCACACAAATAAAATTGTGTTGCAGAGTGATGCTGTACAAAGTTAACTGAGACAGTGCTAGTGGCAGGAATGGCACAGTGTCTGTGGTGTGGGCCTTTGCCAGGCAGTTCTGCTCCTCAGCAGAGTTGCTGAGTCCATCTGAGTGCCCAGTGGTGTGACTGTGCAGCTCCCAGCAATTAGCTGTTTAATTCAGAGGTAGCTAATATTCATGGAAATGCAGGATGTACTTGTCCTGGGAACATCCTCCTCATGTGGTGCAGTTATGTTGATCATCTGAGCTCCTTCGAGTCTGCAACCCAGTGAACCTGCGATGGTGCTCCCTAAGAGTAAGTATGGGGAATGGAAAATCTGGGATACAAAAGGTTAAATTGAGACTGTCAAAGGAAGCCTGACCCAAACCAAAGCTGTGGCATATGAGTGAATATTTTCCACTAAGGTAACTTTTCAAATTTTTAATTTGTGTTTTCAGTGCTACCAACCATGGAAGCTTCTGTTTCAGGCAGGATGAAATTGGGAACAGCAACAAACACTCATCCAAACAGCAGCTCAGTGGTGAAAGCAGAAGCCTTGACTCTGGAGACTACTGAGCTGGTATCTTAAAGTGAAATTGCTGATAAACCACCATATTAATTAGAAATGTCCTCATTTCTGCTCTTTGCTGTATTTTCTTCCTTCACTTTCTTCATTGCTCAGCAGCAAGCTTGTGTTTTATGTGCAGAGCACATGTTAGTCCTGTGTCAGCAGCCTGTATGTGGTTTATGTACCACTGAATTTCACTTAATTGTGTTGAACTACGGGCGACTTGAAAGCTGCCTCCACTTGTATCCCCTGTGAGCATGGGATGAACATCACCTCAGGCACTGCTGGGTGGCCTCTTGGGGCTCACAATTAGTGTTCCACTGTTATGAAATGGATTCTTACACTGTGGCATCTTTGGCCACAAACTGGTCGGTTGGAAACTCATGGATGTTGGAATTGAAAGTTACCTTCTGCTGTTGTGATAGATTTACTTTCTCCCTGGGGAAAAAAAAAATAAAAAAAATAGGTAAATCCCGAAATCATGTATACATTTGTATTATATATTTATATCTATTTATATATAAATACATACAGTGGGCATAGGTACCTCTGATAATCCATCAGAACTCAGTAAAAGATAAACCAGATGTATTTTGATATATTTCTGAAAGTGTCATATAAAACACAGACAACGTATCACAGAATGATTGTAGCATAAATAGACACATTCCTTCAGAACAGGAGCATCCCTATTGGAAAATCTTCCTGAAGGTTTAAGTCCAGCCTCCTGTCTCCTCAATGGCCATGATTTTTTAGTTCCAAACACCTGTGAAGTTGACAGATCTGCTTTTATCTGGCTGCAGTGTTATCTGGAAAAAAGGAATCCTCAATTGCAGCTGAAGGTAAATTTATTTCTAGCATTTGACACAGGTTCAAGAAGTCCAGTGGCAATGCAATGTTGAGTACAGTCCAACACTTTCTCTCACAGTTGTCTTTGACATTTCAGGCCTTTGTTTTGTTTTATTTTAAATAACCTTCATAACTATGCTTTCAAGGTAGGTTTTCATCTTCTTCACCTATTTGACACTGTCAGCAATGAATGCCAAGTAATCAATACTTCTGACCTAGGATTTATTTTGCAGCCCAAGATTGGTG